GTTACGTATTTTGAAGATATTTAAGTAATAATAAAAATTGTATATTTACTCATATAATTACAAATTCTGGTATTCTTCCTTTGTGTAGATTCATATTTTTGCATGATAACTTCTTTTTTCCCTTGAAAAATTGCTTGTAGTACAAGTCTGTTGCTGCTGAAATCAGTCAGCTTTTGAGTGTCTGAAAAAGTCTTTCATCTTTATTTTTAAAAGGCATTTCTGTGGATGTAGAATTATAGACTGACCTTTTCCTTTTTCCTTTTAGTACTTTAAAGATATTATTTCACTTTATTCTAGCTTACACTATTTGCGGTGAGAAATCTATCATTGTTATTTTCATTCCTGTATTCATAATGTATTTATTTTCTTTTTTGCACTTACGACTTTCTCATTAGCTCTATTTTTGAGGAATGTGATTTTGATAAGAGTAGTAGCGTTGTTTGGATTAAACCTAAAGTAAGCATTCTACATTCACCCTCAGTCCTCTTCTGGTTTTTCGTTTGTTTGTTTTTATTTTGAAACAGGGTCTTGCTGCATAGTTTATAGAACTCTCTATGTAGCCTAAAGTAGCCTTAAAATCTCAGCAATTCTCCTACCTCAAGTACTGGGATTACAGGCATGTACCACCATGCCTGGCTCTCTTATATTCATTAAGTTTCTTCTATTTTATATCACTCTTTCTATGTGTGTTTATAATACTATATACTATGGCAAGATCCTTCTGTGTACTTTATCCAAAGCTGCATGAATCATGAGGTGTTTTTTGTTTTAAGTTTGGTTGTTTAGGTATTTTGTTGCCTCTATGTGAGTGGTGGGAGTATTTTGGGGTGGTCTTCCTGGATCCTGGTTAGCTTCCTGGGTCGGGGTGGGGGGGAATGCGCTGATTAATACTGGCTCAGTGCTTAAGGAAGACCCTGCAGATTTGTGAAGTTCCCGTTAGTGTGTTGTAACATTAGCCTCCTGACCGCTCCTGACTTGCAGTTCCATCGCCTTAGCTTGCTAGGCCTGCTAGGCCTTGCGGGGACTTTCCATCCTGTGCCTCTCACAGCTTACAAGCTCCCAGGGCAGGAAGGTGGGTGATGGAGCCCACCTTGTTTGCTGACTAGTGTCTTGAAACTTTTTTTCATATATTTGGACTGCTTTTTGTTTTTTCAAGTCAGAGGGTAAATTTGGTCTATGTTATACTGTGTTCAGGCTGGAAGCAGAAATCCCTCTCAATGATAATTGATGAAACCTGTACCTATAATTTTTCTTTGTTCAAAGTCTTCTGTTGCTATAATTCCTGTTACACAACATAAATATTAAATGAGTCTAAGCTTTTTATTTTAATATATCCCTCTAATGTGGGCGTCTGCAGCATTAGCTAAGTAGTGATTTCATATGGGCTTCTGTTATTTAACATCATACAATTAAAAGACATGCTCTGACCTGATGAAGCAAAACAATGAAATGTGTCAAGTTTGTGGGGCTTTCCCACAGCAGGCTCAAAGACTGCCAGAAGGATTCTGTATATGATAACTCATTTTTACCAACTAAGACATCTGCATCAAAGCCTATTAGCTTAATTGAGGTTATAAGGTGAGCCAAAACAGGAAGTGTGAGCTAAGACAGGAAGAAAAAAGCGTGAAAGAAGAGGAGAATCATTTTGAGCAGACAGTGAGAGGGAACGGTACTGAAGAATAATTGCTACAGGGATGGGAGTGACGTGGAACCCACTGGTGGTAAGCTGTCGGAGAAAGGGGAAAGTAGCAAACTAGAAATGGGGTGAAAAATCAGGCCTTGTTTTGTAGGAGACACCTAAAAAGTCTCACATTTGCTACCTCATAACTGCTGCTGACTTTGTAGTGTATGCTTGTTAGAGCACACCTAAGATAAATGTACATATGGCTAAAACTTTTTAGCTGTATGTGTGAACTAAATCATACTTTTAATGACATTTTATATATGCTATATAATAAATAGTAGGAAATAAAGACATTACTGTATAAATCCCGTGTTAAAGTGAGTAAATCGTAATTCCTTGATCTTTAGCTTATTACAGCTAAGAAAAGTTATAAAAGATTTTTGTAACTTTGCAATAAACTTTTTAAAAAATTAAATTCTTTGTAAGCAGATGTGATGTTAATTTTTTTAGGACTTCCAAACTATGTGAGTTGATAATTTCAAAAGCTCTGTTTGGAAACAAAAACTAGAATTCTTTTTTTTTATTAATTAAAAAAGACTTAATTTACTTGAACTGATATTTCCATGACACTTCTCTGTGTGAATTTTATCAGTGTTTATCTTCAAATAGTTTGATGTACAAGTGATGTTTATTACTCAAGATATGTGCTTTTGCCAAATGATTATGAATCTTCATGTCAAGGGTTTGTGTGACTAAGAGAAGATAGAACAAGATCTGTGTTTTTATTTTTTTCAGGCTAGGAAAGCATAGCTTTTTCACAGTCCAGAGTGGTTGAAATAAGGCAGTGACAAACAGGCAAAGCAGGAGATAGTATACCTGGAAGGAGAGGAAGAGAATGCTATTCAGGATATTGTGAAGAGGATTTACTTCACTATGGGGTACACATATGTATTTGTGTTTTGTTTTCTTTTAAAGCAAACCTATTGATTGATTGATTGGTTGACAGCATCTTACTATGTAGTCCAGTCTGGCCTTGAACTCTGTAATCCGTAGCCCTTCTTGGGGCAGTCCTCTTGCCTCAGCCTCCTGAGTGCTGGATTATAGGCATATACCACCATGTGCACTATAAATTTTTTATAAAGCTTAGCATATATGGAAAAAATTGAAGATCATAAGTGTATACTTGATAACTGTATGACTAATAGCTGTTCAGATTAAGATACGACATTTGTATTAGACTTTTTTTCAAACTGGGTTGTGGGCACATGATAGTCATAGTGCTACTTATTTTTTATTTAAATTTTTGGTGATACTGGGGATTGAAACTGGGACCTGGTGTGTGCTGAGCAAGCTCTGCGTCACTGAGCTACATCCTTAGCCCTTACAGTCTTTTTATTTATTTTTTAATGTTTTTTAAGGGGCTGGGGATTTAGTTCAGCTGCATAAGTGCCTGCCTTGCAAGTGTGTGGTCATTAGTTCGATCTCCGGTACTGATTAAAAAAAACAAAAGAAAGGACTTAATGTTTTTAAAATTTTTTTAATGTTTTAAAATAAGGTTTTTAGTACATTTGAAAATTTATCTCAGAAAGAAATATAGTCAGAATTTATAACTAGAATGTGAAATTTTTATTATAATGTGACATTTGATCAAAATTATAACTACCTTGAAATGACAATTTTTTTATTATTATTATTGTTACTGTTATAATTATGTCTGGTACTGGAATTGAATCCAGGACCTCAGGCACGCTAGGCAAGTGCTTTATACCTAAGCCCAGCATGATAGTTTAAAAATAAATCATCACTAAAATCCCAGAAATGGTGCATTCAGTTCTATAATGGCATATTCAAGCTATAGAAGGAGCTGAGCTCATATTAACACTAAGATTTATATCTATCTTGAAGGCTTTATATCTGTTAGATAATTTCCCATGTAGTAGACAGAAATATACTAAATCTAAAAACTTTACAGAAATTACAGTTAGTACTTAACTTTTGTGTTTTTTCCCCTTAAGTAAGGACTCACTCTTTCTTTTTTTGAGACAAGGTCTCATTATGTAGTTCAAGCCAGCCTTGAATTCATTATGTAGTTGAGGTTGGCCTTGACTTAGGGTGATTCACCTGCCTCTGCCTCCTGAGTGCAGGGATTACAGGTATGCACCACCATGCCTGGCTAATGGAGCACACACTTCTTTATGAATGAAGATTTCATTTTTCTTTTTTGCATATAGCAAATCTTATGTAGATTTCATAGTATAGATGGGATTTTACTCTGTTGTCTACAACATACTTTTTTTTTCCAGAATAGAGCAAAACAGTAATAAAAATATTTGCCTTCAAAGAGATGGTAGAAGGAAATCCTCCTTATTTGCTATGGTCAACCTCCCAGGAGATGCTCAGATTTCTGGTTCCCATTTGCTAATGGGGGGACAGGAGAAGGAGGGTAGGGGAAGTGAGATGTTTGACTCGAGGCCGTGCATCAGTAGGTTCACTATTGCTTAGCATGGAGGCATGCTGGTTGCTTGGCTTCCCAGCGTCCTAAGTTCCAACATGGTGTGGATCTCAAAAGGCACTGGTGGTTCTCCCCCTGGAGGGAATATAGTCTGCCACACTGCAGCCACTTAACAGGGAGGGGAGCTGCTTGCTTGGATTCCCAGGGTCTTAAGTTCCAACATGGTGTGGGTCTCAGGAGACACTGGTGGTTCTCCTCCTGGAAGGACTGCAGCCCGCTGGCCATACTGCTGCCGCTTACCAGGGAGGGGAGCTGCTTGCTTGATTTCCCAGTGCCCTAAGTTCCAACATGGCACGGATCTCAGGAGACACTGGTGGTTTTCCCCCTGGAAGGGCCGCAGTCTGCCACACCACCGCTGCTTACCAGGGAGGCAAGCTGCTTGCTTGGTTTCCCAGAGTCCTAAGTTCCAATATGGCGCAGATCTCAGGAGACGCTGGTGGTTCTCTCCCTGGAAGGGCCACAGTCTGCCACACTGCCGCCGCTCACCACGGAGGTGAGCTGCTTGCTTGGTTTCCCAGAGTCCTAAGTTCCAACATGGCATGGATTTCAGGAGACAGTGGACTCCAACATATCTTTTAAAGTGAATTGTGACTGGGTTGCTGTTGAGAAACCTTTTGTGTGTTTTCTGTAAAATATTAGGTCATTAACCTTACTTCTGCTGTTCAGGGTTATATGTATTACATTATTAAAGTGCTAATCTATTGAAAATCACGGGCTGAATAATTTTTACTTTTTTGACTGTAGAATTCAATAGGGCAATGCAGATAGATTGCTGTTTCTGATATGTTCATGTGTGTAGTATTTGGTTTCTGAGAAGTTGTCAGGACACACTGAAATCTTTGTTTTCATGTTTTCTTCTGACAGGAAGTAGAGGAAGAAATGGCAGGTCCCAATCAACTCTGCATTCGCCGCTGGACTACCAAACATGTAGCTGTGTGGTTGAAAGATGAAGGTTTTTTTGAGTATGTGGACATCTTATGCAACAAACATCGACTTGATGGACTCACACTACTGACACTGACTGAGTATGATCTCCGCTCTCCTCCTTTGGAAATCAAAGTGCTGGGGGACATTAAAAGGTTAATGCTGTCAGTCCGAAAATTGCAGAAAATACATATTGATGTTTTAGAGGAGATGGGCTACAACAGTGACAGTCCCATGGGCTCTTTGAGCCCATGCATCAGTGCTCTACAGGGTGCAGACTGGCTGTGCAATGGGGACCCCTCCCATGACTGTGATGGACCTCTCACCGACCTGAGCACCGATCAGTACCAGTACATGAATGGCAAAAGCAAACATTCTGTTCGAAGACTGGACCCAGAGTACTGGAAGACCATACTGAGCTGTGTATATGTTTTTATAGTGTTCGGGTTTACATCATTCATTATGGTTATAGTCCATGAGCGAGTGCCTGACATGCAGACCTATCCACCACTCCCGGATATCTTCTTAGACAGGTGAGTTTTGCTTCTGTGTGCTATGTTTGTACAGGGTTGCTGTAATAACAATGATGATATGTGTATGATGATTCTGTTATTGTTGTAGCTGAGATTGGCTTTATCTGGTGATATAGAAGACATATGATTTGAAGTCATTTAAAGTAAGTTAGGCCTAGGGGAGTGATAAAGACCACTGCTTAATTTCTTTTTCTGTAGATTGGCTCTGGATACTTCAGATTTTAAAAGGGTGCCTTGGTGTCCGGAAAGGAGGTTTATAGTAAATAAAACTTAGTCTTGGTCATCTTTTTCTTTTTTCTTTTTTTCTATACTGAGGAGTAAACCTAGAGGTAGTCTACTACCGTGCTATATCCTAGCCTTTTTCTATTTTTTATTTTGAGACAGGGTCTTACTAAGTTGCCCTGGTGAGAATTAAACTTGTAGACCTACTGTTTCATCCTTCCTAAGTGCTAAGATTACAGACATGCGTCACATCTGACTTGGTTACCTGGCTTGGCCACTTTTTATTTAAGAAAATGATAAACAGGATTCTTCTTTGGAAATATCAGTAGTCTCATAGCACCAGATGAATTGCAATTATCAGATAATACAAATGATAATAATCTGTTTTTAATTATGAATACAGAAAAAAGAATAAATCAGAAGTAATAATTATGAAAAATATAGAAACAATAAAAACATTTGGAATTGTTTTTATAATTGTGATTTTTAAATGTTTTCATTTTGAGATAGGATCTTGTTGACGTTGCCTAGTCAGGATTTGAATTTGCAGTTCTCCTGCTTCAGTTTCCTAAGTGCGGGGATTACAGGTGTGAGTCTCTGCACTTGCTTAAAAAGGGCTTCTGGTTTCCTTTTGTTTGGGTGGGCTGTTCTGTACTGTGTTTGTTGAACTGGTGTTAGGAGTCATACAATGTGGTAGGAGGGGTTAGCAGTGATAGTAGAGGTAAGAGAGGGTATATGGTTGGACCCCTGTCCTGTGTGTAGATAAAAAAGGATGGCACCTAATGATGGATGGTAGAATTAATCCTTGTAGAAAGGAAGATAGGAACTATGAAAATAGTCACAACTCTTATGACTATAATTCTGTAATTCTGGGAGGAGATGCAAGAAGATTGCAACATTGTGCCCAACCTCGACAACTTTGCAACTTAGCAAGATCCAGCTTCAAAATAAAAAAGCAGGAATTGTAGTTAAGTTTGAAGGCTCTGAGTTCAATCCCCAGGATATGGGTTGGGAACAAGTTGGAAATAGGCCAAAGGATGCTGTATATGTGAGGGTGAGGCACAAGAAGTGCCATCTTGGTTACTTTTAGTTTCTCAGTGTACAGAGAGTGACACTGAAAAGAATGAAAGTTTGAGGAGACAAGATAAGGTGACAAGATAATGGTCATCTAGCGCGGTAGGAGAGCGAGCAGCTAGGGTAGCAGCACCAGGTGTCGTTTGAGGTTAGTGGTCACATTGGCATTGTGTTTACCAGCCTCTTTCAAAAACAAATGCAGATGTGCAGTAGTCGAGAGTTGGCTCAGCAAGATTGAGGTTTTGCCAGACAGTTCCAGGAAGAAAAAGAGGCCAGGAAAAGAGTAGTAACAGGGAGGTGAGGACTATAGGCCTTGGAATTACTGAAGTTGGGAACCAGAAGGAATAGGCTAGAAAGAGGTATTTAGTAGAGCACTTTTTTAAAATTAAGAACACAAAATTTATTGCAGAATATGGGGAGATAAGATAGGGATAGGTCAGTGGTAGGGTGCATAGCACACCCAGAGCTCTGGATTCAGTCCTAAGTATCCAAAACAAAACAAAAAATGTTTGTATGCCTAACTCATCATTGCTTAGATAGCTAGGAGTCTTGAAATTGAAATTGTGAGGAGTAATCTTGGCGGTAGCAAGTTTGGTACAAGTGTGAGATTAGGTTGCTGTGGTAGGGTAAAGGATGAAAGATCATAGGATGAAAAGAAGCAAAATCAGAGAGCAAGAGGAACACACATTGTAACAAGTATTAGCATGGCTGATCCAAAAGCTACAATCTGCAATCAGGTAACTGTAACTGGGGTGATATCCTTATCCAGCCAACCAGACTTCTGCCTAATCACTCTGCTGGGAAACTCACAATTTGACAAAGCTTAGTTCATGCACTCAGAACATCTGACTACACAGAACATCTAGTTATCTTTTCTAGTACTTCACTGTGTATGTTCTGTGAAGAATATCCAGACATCAGGATACAAAATCAACACAAGGGCCAGGGATTTAGCTCAATGGCACAGGGCCTGCCTGGCAAATGTGAAGTCCTGAATTTGATTTCCAGACCAGAAAAAAATCAATGGTGAGTCCACTGATAATGAACTCACCAAGAAAGAAATTAGGAAAAGAATACTATTCATGAGATCATCAAGAAAAGTTATTTATTTAATTATTTTTGTTAGGATTAACCTAACAAAAAAGTGAAAAGCCTCTATAATGAAACCTGTAGTACTCTGAAAAAAGAGGTTGAAGAGCACATCAGAAAATGGAACAATACTTCCTTTCCTAGATAGTTGTTCTGTTGTTTTTGTAGTTAAGGCTTGCTGTGAACTCACTATGTACACCAGGCTGGCCTCAAACTCACAGCAATCCTCCTGTCTCTGCCTCCCAAGTGCTGGGATTACAGGTGTGTGCCACCACTCCCAGCTAGATATGATCAAATTATGGTCATAATTTCAAAACTGATGGATAGATTTACAATCCTGAGCAACAAGAGCAAATCAGGCGTCATAATTCCAGATTTCAAAGTTACAGCAGTAAACACAGGCACAAAAGCAGATAATTGGATCAATGGGACACAATAGAAAATGCAAAAACATCCCTATCTGCTCCTGGACAAAGCAGCTATGAACACACACTAGAGGAAGGATAGCCTGCTGAGAAGATGTACTGGAGAAAGCTTCTGCAAAGCATAGGAAATTAACAAAGGGAAAAGAAAACCTGCAAGATGAGGGGAAAAATTGCCAGACAGAAGACTAATATAATATCAAAAATATATAAAGAAGTAAAAAAATTAGCCCCCCCCCCCAATTAAAAGATCCAGTGCAAAAAAAGGGCAACTGAAATGAATAGATAATTTCTCAGAAGTACAAACGGCCCATAAATATGTGAAAAAATGTTCAACATTTCTGGCCATTAGAAAAACAAATTAATATAACACCGAGATTCCATCTTACTCTGGAAAGAATGACTATCATCAAGAAATCAACACTGTGGGGAAAAAGAATCCTTCTTCATTGTTGGTTGGAATGTAAACTAGTACAACCATATGGAAATCTGTATTGAGATTATCCAAAAGCTAAAACTAGGAATTCCATTTGACCCAGCTATTCCCCTCCTAGGTATCTAAAGCTTTCAGAAAGTAGTAATAATTTTAAAAAAATTAAATCCAGCCAGATTAGGACATAGATTTGATAAAAGTGCCTGGTACCTAGAACAAAGCAATGAAAAACAAAAAAAATAAAGTCAGTCCATCTGGCCCCACAAACAACAAAGAGGAGCCCAGAAAGAACACATCAAATGAAGGGGAAGGAAAGTTTCCAGCATCTGAAGAGACAAAACAGGTAACAGAAACAAATGGAAATCCATATAACGGTCAAGCTTCGTGACAAAGGAAACAAGAAGACACTGGGATGTGTTGTTTTTTTAGTAGGGGAGGGCAGGTCTTGCTGTGTAGTACAGGCTGGCCTTGAACTTGCTTATTTAGCTCAGGCTGATTTCAAGCTCATGACAATCCTCCTCCTTCAACCTCCCAAGTGCTGGGATTATAGGTGTGCTGCATTGGGGACATTCTAAGAGAAAATAATGTCCAGTCTAGAATTCTCAGTCTAGGCAGACAGCTGGATATAAGGCTAAAAACCAAGGATATGTAAAAACTTGCAAGTCCAGAATATTACTTTCCCTGTCTCACCCTTATAATTGCTAAAATGAAAATACCTAACCATGCCCAGTCTTGATGAGGATTCCAAACAACCAGTGTTCTCTTACATTGCTAATAGACATGTGAAATGGTACAACTGCTTTGAAAATACAGTAGTTTAAGAAGTTAAACAGACACTAAGATATAACCTAACGGTTCCACTCATAGATATTTACCCAAGAGCAATGCAGACATGTCCAAGTAAAAACCTACATGTAGTCTTTATTCATAGTCTTCCAAAGCTGGAGGAAACTCCAGGTATCTCTCAGCCAGCAGGTGGGTAGAGTTGTGCATGTAGGAACCCAGAAGGGTCTCACCTGCATTGTGCTGAGTGAGAACAGCCAGATACAGAGGATGGGGCAGGGGCTGTGCAGTTCTATTGTGGAAAAGGCAGTCTTTCAGGACAGAAATAGGGTCAGTAGTTGCTCCAGGATTGGAGATGTGGGTGAAGATTACTAGAGGGACCCAAGGGAAGGAACCTTCTGCAGTGATGAAAATGTTCTGTGTCTATTATGGTGGGGGTTACATTACTGTGTCCAAACTTACTGACTTGTGCAGCTAAAAGATGAATTTTACTGTGTGTAACCTTGATACACTAAGAGGAGGACATGGGGTTTAAGAAACAGAAAATTTGATATAGCAAAGAATTCCCAAAGTAAGGGTTAATTTTATTCCAAGCAATAGGCATACAGAAGAATTGGAAATGCATACCTTGTAAATTAAAATAAGAGACAGAAGAACTCAAGGTTTTCCCCCAAGACAAATTCAATTTGATACAATAGTTTAGGATGAATTGATGATAAGCACACAGAAAAAAACAAACTAAAAACAGTATTTCCTAGTTCCATGGATTTTTAAGCAGATATACAAGGAAAGAATTTAATGATGGTTCTTTGCTGACTCCACTGTAAATATTAAATTTTATATTAACTAAGATTTTTGCCAAGAACGTTTTAAACAAGATTATGAAATATTAAGAGCATGGAGACTCTGCATATGGGTTAGGAGTGTGGGACTAAACCAGGTAGTGCCAGATAGGACAGCTGTAAGATGAAAAGTGATTGTCCGTGGGTAACAAGAGTTAGGGTTGTTTGCTCAGACAAGGTGACACATGCCTGCAAACTCAGTACTGGAGATGCTGAGGAAGGAGGGTCCCAAGTTCAAGTCTCACATGGATTACCCAATGAAAGCCTGTCTCAAAATAAAATATAAAAAGGCCTGGGGATGTCGCTGAGTGTGAAGGCCCTGGGCCTAATCCCCAGTCTGCAAAGAAAAGGAAGGAAGGAAAAGGTGTAGTTTAGAGATACAGACTGGAGGCTTATTTTGTCAAAATGTAAAACTTAGTATATTTTAAATTTTTCTTCTTCATTTTAAAGAGAATAAATCCAAGGAAAGTAAAACAGAATAAAACCAATCAAAATAAACCAGTATAAATGATACAGGACTTCAAAACCTTACAAAATCAATAATAGTTACCATAATGCCTTTTGTTGTCTTCAAAATAGCTTCAGATTCCTTCAGATGTAGTAAAAATAGAACAGAACAGAATAGAATAGAAACAATAAAAACAAAACAATGAATGCAATAAAGGATTTCAAAACAATCCTATATCAAAATTGCTACCATAATATATCTTGCTAGTTTTGAAATAGCTGCACATGCCATCAGATTTAACACGATCAAACAAAAGAGAATAAAACCCAACCTAACAAAACGTTGAAAATGATATGGTTTCCAGGTGGAGATGGCTTCCTGGTGAGGGCTGGTTTTCTCTCCCCATAGTATGCAAAAGGCATTGACTCACGGAGAAGGGCTTGGGTCTGGCAGTCCCCACTCTGGCAGTGGCCCACACATGGTGCTGATTCCGAAATTTTCTATTATGTGAAATAACTGTTCTTCAGTAACACCCGCTAAATAAGATAGAAATCAGTTGAAAATACATGAATGTTTTCTGATGTAAAAATCCCTCAATAGATCCTGAGTTTGATTCCAGTACCTCCCACCCACCCCTCAATGAAGATGAGTAACTCTTTTGTCTTTTTGAGACAGGGTCTCACTATGTGGTTCAGGCATGCACTACCCCACCTGGCTACCTGCAGAAATACTAAAAGAATCAAGTTCAAATCTTCATTGTCTGAATTCTAAAATAAACATACCACTTAAGAAGGCAGCCTCTGCCATTCTTTGTGGGAGGCCCTGTACCATATCTGCTGTGCTTTAGGGTGGCAGAGAAATGTTAGTTCTTTGCAGAGAGAACCATGACTGGGGATTGTAAGGAATAATAGTGCAAGGCAGAGTCCAGCTGAGACCACCAGGCTTGTGTAAAGGCAGCATGGAGTGGAATTTATTGTACCTGGGTTCAGGTGGACAGAGGGCAAAAAGGCCATCTGTAGGGAGCAAAGAGAAGCAGTTTTTTTTTTTTTTTTTTCTTTTCATTTTCATTTTCATTTTCATTTTTATCGGTACCGGGCATCGAACTCACGACTGCCTGCTTGCAAGGCAGGTGCTTATGCCGCTGAGCTAAATCCCCAGCCCCGAGAAGCAAGTTTTTTTTAACAGAGCTTAAAAGAAGGCAAGGGACTTATATTAGGTAGGAAAATCTTAGGAAAGCTCAGTGGTTAAAAGTCTTTTAATGTTTTGTGCCTCAGCAGACAAAGTTCTTGAGGTGTCTGATGTGAGTGCTTGGATGTCTTTAGATGTCTTCCTGGTACTTGCCAGGATCCGTGTTCTATCTTACCTCCTTTAAGATATCCTGTGTCTGCCGAGGGCATGGTGCCGAGCTGAGAACAGTGCCTCTGCTGGCAGACAGCCTGAGTACTGGGAAAGTCCGGTCCGGTCAAGCCTTTCAGGGGTCACAGACAGCAAACAGCTTCGGATAAACAGGATGCTTTGTGAAACACGTTTCCCCCCAGGACTTTCCACAGAGTACTTCCTGAGAAAGAAAGGATATATAACAACTGAAATACAAATTATCGTTAGGTAAGTCTCTCATTATTAGCATCTACTTCTCTTCAGTTCATAATGTTTTCTGTTGCAGCGTTCCCAGAATCCCATGGGCCTTCGCCATGACGGAAGTGTGTGGCGTGATTCTGTGCTACATTTGGCTCCTGGTTCTTCTTCTTCACAAGCACAGGTACCACACTAAAAGACTATTGTGACGCTTCTGTCAGGTCACCTAGCAGTGGCCCCAGTCCTTGAATTTTTCAGGTTACAGTAATTTTCTTCTCTGGTCAGTGTGACATAGTTATTAATAATGCAAAGGAAAATGTTTGGGGTTAGAGCAACAAAAAAATTAGTGTAAAACAATATTGCAGAGGAAGATCAGAGCTGGGCATTATTAACCGTGGGGCAAGCCTTGCCAGTCTGGCCTTGTTTGTTTGTTTGTTATTTTTCTTAAGAAACAAACTGGAAATGTCATTTTCTACAGAAGGATAGGGACTTCTCCAAGGATAATGGTTGGTCAGATATTTGGATGGAAGAAGTTGTTCTTTGCTTGGAGGAGGCCCAAGTAGAAGGAGATTAATTTGCATACTGTGTGCTTGTATCTGTGTACTTTGCTTCAGATGGTGTAGGAAGCTGCTAAATAGAGAAAGCATTCTCAGCACCAAGAAATATAAAGGGAAGGACTTTTTTTTAACTGAAAAAAGAAGGGAAGCATAGAGGAGAGGAGGGTTTATGGGAAAATTACTTGATTTAAGTAAAAAATAAGGCCTAGAAAAGAAAAATTTAAAGAACTACAAAATTTGTGTTTGTTGCTGTCCATTGTTTTTGCAACTCTAGAGAATAAGGGCTTTTGTTGTCATTATTAGTCCTTTCTCCTCACCAGGAAGTGCTGAGGTAACTACATGATGGGCTTTTATGTCCTACACTGAAGCTATTTCAGTGCCTCCAGTGTGAAAAGGAAGGTTGATGATGACTATTCTTGTCAAACTCTGAGCCCATATTCAGCCTCTTTCTGTCCTATTTTGTCTTATTTAACAGCAATATCTTAAATTCTGGATGGCTTAAAATCAGATATGGTTTGAAAATATTACTGTTGCTTTCTGGTTAGCTTTGTCTCACAAGACCCCATGGATTTGAACTTGCCTACTTCTTGAATCAAAAAGAAACATTATAGGAAACCTTTTTGTTACTAAAACATAGTAAAGGCCAGTTAAATATAAGTAATAATGTACACTTAGTCAAAGAAACTATTTCTCAAAATATGGTCTTTGTGTCACTTTTTTTGCTGGGGGGAGATACTGGGGAATGAACTCACAACCTCGTGCTTGCCAGGCAGGCACTTATGCGCTGAGATAAATCCCCTGTGTCATTTTTCTTACTCACCTGGACATTTGTTAGAGTATAGTTACCAAGGTCCAGCCCAGAAGTACACACTGAAGTTTGAGACATACCCACCCCTGTGTTGGATATGTGCTTTTTTTTTTTGAAGGAGACAAGACTATTTTGAAAATTTGTAAAGCAAATGTCCCCAAGAATCTTAGTCTGTCTGGATTTAGGACATTTAAATAAATAATATACTAGTATGAATAGATGATTATCCAAATTATAGGTATTCCAGATTTTTGTTGCATATATACTTAATATAAAATAGTATTTAAAAAATATTTTAGAACTTTAGGAAAAGAGTATCAGCTACTGTTATTAACTAGTTTGATTTTTTGTTTGTTTTTTTGAAAGAGGGTTTATTATGTAATTCATTCTGGCCTTGAACTCACCTTGTAGCCTGGTTTGGTCTTGAACGCACAGCAGTTCTCCTGCCTCAGCCTCCTGAGTGCTGGAATTACAAGCATATGCCACCATACCCACTCAACTAATTTTTTTTTTAATGAGCAAAAAAATTCTAGGCTTTTAGGGGATTATCTCTTATAAATAAGTAATTTTGAGCCATGAACAGTTTATGGGTAATAGGACTAAGCTTACAGGTGTTACTTCCATCTTGCAGAACTCTCCTAGTTGTGTTTTATCACTGTGTGATTTTAGAATCCAAATGATGTATGGATTGTGCAGTATGGCAGGCAGGCACCACATGTGGCGATTGAAATTTAAGTTAATGTTAGAAGTAAATTTTAAATTTTGTTCTTATTACATAGCCTCATTTCAAGTACTCAGAAGCCACATGCAGGTAGCATCATGGACAGTGCAGCTGTAGAGCATCTCAATTCTGCAGGATTCTGCTGATTGTATAATGATGCCTTAGGGTTTCTCCACTTTCCCAGAAGTCTAGTGGTTTTTCTGTTCGCTTTCCCTTTAGGTAGACATTTGATGCCTGGGGTTTTCCAGTATGTTTTCCTCTGATCTTGCCCTCTTTGGTCGCTCTGTTCACAGGTCAATCCTTCTGCGAAGGCTCTGTAGTCTGATGGGCACTGTCTTCTTGCTTCGCTGCTTTACCATGTTTGTGACCTCCCTCTCCGTGCCAGGACAGCACCTGCAGTGCACTGGAAAGGTAGCCTGCTGCCTTCTGTGTCCCTCACTCTTTGTCTTGTTCTTATTGATGGCACAATACATGCAATACGGCTAAGATTGTGCCTTTACTATCGAGATGCGCTTCTTGGTAGTGATAGTATCTAAAATAAACCTCTAGAAATAATTTAGTAATAGTTTTTCTTAGACAGGCTCTGATCCCCTTGTTATTTCTAATCATTGATACGAGCGCTATGCTCAGCTAAAGAAAAAAATTTTCAGTTTTCTTTTTCCCTAACATTTTCCCTTTTCCACAGTCCTTGGCATCTTTAGGTCCTTGTTTGTCATGATATGATCTCGCATTGCCCTCATCACCCCTTTTTAAGAATTCCTCATAAGAGGCTGGGGGTTTAGCTCAGCGGCATAAGCACCTGTCTTATGAGCACACAGTTGTGAGTTTGATCCCTGGTACCAAAAAAAAAAACCAAAAAATAGAACCCCTCATAAAATGGGGTACCCAGAGCTTTATATCCTTTCTGGAATATACCAAATGATAGATTTTGTTTCTGTTTTTGTTTTATGCTTTGTAGCTTCTTGTTTTTGGTATAAAGTAGATGTGTCTCTTTTGGCTAACCTGAAGAAGGAGAAAGAAATTAAACTAATAGGATTGAAAAATGTGATGTGAATTACTTGCTAAAAAACATTATGAGAGCCAAGCATGATGATGCATACCTGTAATCCCAGCACTCGGGAAGCTGAGGCAAGACAGTCACCGTGAGTTCAAGACCAGCCTAAACTACATAGTGAGACCTTGTCTCAAACAAACAAACAAAAAAAAACCCCACAAAAATTGTTTTGAATCTTTAAAAAAAAAATCACCTATACTTGATATAAAACACTGGTTGTTGCAACTGATTAAATTTGGACAAAGGAATTTATTATTCCTACTTTTCTAAATCTTCCAAGTGTTGCTTCTGTATTTCCCAGTATTCAAGTATACATACCACTCTTCTGTTGTTATTTTAATACTGCTTGTAAGATAAAATTAGGTGTCAGTTCCTGTTCTATAGTATAAATAGCTGACATACAACTAGGGAAGATTAAGCAGCCAAAGGAGATCAAGAGCTAAAGATATTACCCTTGAGCTGAAGGGTAACTGCTTTCTCCAGATCCCAGGAGTGTTTAGACTGAGTAGTAAGAAAAGGAAGCTGGCTAATGTGCTTAAGATCTAGTACAAAGGAAATACTTTATTTTACCCTAAAGGGAAGAGTGGTTTGAGATTTTTTTATTATTGGCAAAAAGGAAAAGTAATGGTTTTTAATTATATAAACTTATTGTTTAAAAAGTCAAATTATGTTAAGATTCTTGCTGGAGTTTAAGAGCAAAAACCCCAGTTCCTGGGGACCCAGTAGGCTGGGCGTGGGCACATGTCCCAAGGTACCAGTCGAGGACACAGCAGAGGCAGAGGGCAAGAAAGGAGCTAGAATCAGCATGGCTGTTCTGGGAAGCTCAGACGGAGGCTTGAGATCTGTCTTTGAGGAGCTGAGGAAAGCTTTGGAAGCAAAGGCAAGGACTAGTGGTTGACGTGGTTGGCATCATAGGTAATCCTGGTCGTGGCATAGCCTGATTATCAGATTGGTACCTCAGGACTGGTTCTGCAAGGTTCTTGGAGAGCCATCATCCTAGCAGTCATGAGATGACAGCCCCTACTAGTGACCAGTAGGTGGAGGGACAGGTTTGATTCCTGTGTGAGGTAATTTCTCCTACTTGGTGGGGAAGGGTATGACCTCATTATAGGGTGGTCTGTGAGGTTCTGCTTTTTCTGAAAAAAGGTGGCTTCATGTTTAGGACATGAGTGGAGACTTAAGAATTGGACATTGCAGCCAGGCATGGTAGTGCACACCTGTTACCCCACCACTCGGGAGACTGAAGCTGGAGGATTGCTGAGAGTTTGTAGCCAACCTGTGCTACATAGTGAATTCAAATCCAAGCTGAACTACATAGGGTGACCCTGTGTGTGTGTGTGTGTGTGTGTGTGTGTGTGTGTGTGTGTGTGTGTGTGTGTGTGTATGTGTGAGAGAGAGAGAGAGAGAGAGAGAGAAACATGAACACTGGGCATTGTAAAAGCTGCCAATCTAATTTCCCTATAAGTCCTGAAAATAATTTACTCTTGTTTTGGCGTCTGCACTCTTGAAGAAAAATAGATAGGCCAGGCTAGTGATAGTGAACTATTTACAGACCAAGTGCCCAAATTGCAACCCAGAACCCACTTATTTATCGCAAAGTGCCAGCACTGCAATTAAACCTGACTACTCAGTGTTCAACTGCTGGTACACTCATGCCAAAAGACATAGTTCACTCATGCCATAGGCTTGCTACCACCGAGCCAGTAAATTTAGGGGTAATGAACCTTGTGCTACAGAAACTCCTTCAGTGTCAAACATGTCTTTGTGAAGACCCGAGCAGGGATCTGAAATAAAGTTTTAAGATAATAAATGAGGCTTTTTTTTTTTTTTTTTAATGAAGGCAGAGATGCTAAGCTCATCCTGCTTTTAAGTTACCAGTAGACCAGTAGACCAGTAGGCCCAGCACCTAGGTCTTTGTTAAAACATAATTTCTTTTTGTTTATTTTTGAGACAGGGGCTTGCTGTATACTCCAGATTGGCCTTGAGTTCATTGTGTAGCCCAGAATGGCCTTGAACCTGTGATTCTCTTGCCTCAGCCTCTCAAATGTCGGGATTACAACATGTGCACAAAGCCCAGCTATAACATCATTTCTTTTTTTTGGTCTTTTTTGTTTTTTATCGGTACCAGGGATCGAACTCACAGCTGCACACTTGCAAGGCAGGCGCTTACGCTGCTGAGCTAAATCCCCAGCCCCCACAACACCATTTCTAAGCAGAATTCTTACTCACAGAATGAAAGGATCATAGTGCAGCTTTTTTTTGGGTACTGAGAATTTAACTGAAGACCACGAGCTTGCTAGCCAGGTGCTGTGCTGAGATGTATCCCCCAGCCCTTGAGCTCTATCCCCGGCCTACTGTTCTTTATCTTATTTTTTTTTTAATGTTGTTTACTTTGTTGATAGAATATATGGCTATATTTCTATTTTTAACAGTTTCATGATATTCTATTGTATGGTTTTCCAATCTCTAAATGTACATTTTAGTTGTTTCCACATTTTATTATTTGTAAACAATGCCAGATTTGTATTTGTACTTTTTTTTATTCTCTTTTATTAGTACATATTTAATACATCGTGAATACATTCACCTTGGAGTTTGTAGATATACCTATTGCATCTTAGTCCTTTTTACTTCCCCTTTTTTGTCTCCTCTCATTCATCTCCCTCTATCTCTAGATTCCCTTCCCATCTGCAAATTGTCTACCTCCTCATTTCCTATTATCTGTTATTTTGCTCTTTAAATTATTTACACTTTGGATTTCTTAAATAAAGGAAACAATGGGGTGTTTTGCTTTCTATGTCTGGTTTTTTCACTTAGCATTATGATAAGGGCTTCCCTTCTGATTTTTACAAATGACTCAAATTTATCCTTCTCATGACTGAGTAGGACTGCATTGTATGTATGGACCATTGTTTAAAATCCATTCTTCTGTCAGTGGACATACAGGCATTGTCCTGTGTCTAAGAGTTAACTAACTCTTGTGAACTTGCTGCTCTAAACATGAGTGTGCATGTATCACTGAAGTAAAATGCTTCCACCGTCACTTTACTCTGGGAACATTTTTATTTTGCTGATACCTTCTGGAATCCATTAATTATTCAGAAATGAATTGTTTAATCTCCACGTGTTCATGTAATTTCTTTGGTTTCTTTTGCTGTTGATATTTAGCTTCATTCCAATGTGATCCAGTTCATTTCTTGTGTTTATTTAGGCATGCTTTATGGCTTACAATACGATCTGTTTTGGAAAAAGTTGTGTGTGACACTGAGAAAAACGTGTACTTTGTTAGGTGAAGCACTGCAAATCTTTGTTAAATCCACTTACTCAATGTTATGGTTTAACTCTGATATTTGTGTTAATTTTTTCTGGTTGACCTGTTTAATTGAGAGTAGGGTATTGGAAGTATGATTGTTTGGGGATCTGTCTGTTCTTGTATGTCCAGGAGGGTTTTTTCCCATAAAGTTGGGTGCTCTGGGCCTGGGGATTTAGCTCAGTGGCATAGGCACCTGCCTGGCAAGCTCTAGGTTCTGAGTTTGATCCCTGGTACCACCAAAAAAAGAAAGAAAAAAAAGTTGGATGCACTGGCATTTGGTGCATAGATGTTTACAATTGTGGTTGTTTTTTGTTTTTTTGGTACCTGGGATTGAACTCATGACCTCCTGGGCTTAGAGTGCTTAGCTAAATCCCCGGCCCCAGTGTTTGCAATTGTTACCTTCTCCTGTTGAATTGTTCCTTTGCCACTATGTAGAGGCTGTCTTTGTCACTTTTCATCAGTTCTGGCTTGAAATCTGCTAGGTCTGAAAGTAAGACAGGTACTCCTGCTTCCTTTGAGCTCAGGGTGCATGGAGCATCATTTTCCATTCTTTCACCTTTAACTTTGCATTTGTGTTTGAATGAGGTATATTATCTGTAAGCAGCATATAGATGCATTTTGCTTTTTGAGCCAATCTGCCAGTCTGTTTTTTGACTGAGAAGACTCTTGACATTCAGAGTTATTACTGTAAGGTGCTTATTGAATCCTATCATTACATTAGTTTTCCAGTACTGATTTCTTTCTTTTTTTCTTTTGGTACTGGGGATTGAACTCATGACCTTGCACTTACCAAGCAGGTTCTTGTGCTGCTGAGCTAAACCCTCAGCCCCTTTTGTTTTATTTTATTTTTTCTTTTGTTTAACTATTCTCCCAGTTAAATGTATATTTTCCTGTAGTCTCTTTGGTACTGGGTGGCCGCCCTAACTCTGTCTAGAATTCCCTTGAGTATTCTGTAATGCTGTTTTAGCAATTATGTATTTCTTTAGCATTTATCATGGAAAGTTTTATTTAGTTTTAAAAGCTGATTTTGTAGGATATAGGAAT